TAATATCTGTATTTAGTAATGCCTGGTGTTCAGTAAGAAGGTGACTCATTATCGTTGTATAATCTGCTTGGAAGAAATTGCATTTAGAGATGGAGTTATTAGAAACACTATTTTTCATGGGCGATTCTGCTTGTAACGATGTCATAATCACTAAATGATCACTTTAACCAATACTTGGCCTGTAGGATCGGGGTGTATCAAGTTCGAGTAGCTAGCTGAGACCAAAGAAAATTGTCGGCATGTCTACTACCGCACACACAGCATTGTACGAAACCATGAGAAATGCCCTGTTTCATATACTGAAGTGGTCGTCGAAGTGCAGTCATTGACTGTCGCATCAGTCTGGACTCCTAAATATCTTAGCGGCTGCTGGGAGGTAATTTTACTACTTTCTACATAGAGAGTAATACCCTCTTTCACTATTCTGCCTGAGACAGCATTTGTTTTATGCTCGTCCATCTGGAGCCCCACCCACATCAGCCACCACCAGATTGCATTAACTCTACATTATATTTGCCGATCACTCTCTCCGTAACATCGTCAGCAAATGCAATAGCCGTAGCGCCTTCCTGCAGATGGAGCTTCAAAACAGAGTCATTCGTAATATTCCCCAACAAGTACTGAACCTTGCGGGAACACCACCCAAGCAAGATACCATAGGTCTTCACTCCAGTCTGTTTTATCTATGTCACTAGTCCTTTCTTCAAAGTAGCTTCTATCTATGTTCATTACTTAGTATGGAACTCCCAGTTTCTTAAAGCAGCAAGTATTAATGTGCTCCGCCTTGTATATTAAATGTATTCCTGATGTGGAGGGTAAATACTTCTTCGCGCCTCTTCCCCATGGTTTGCCCCCAATAGCCTTGCATGCGATGTCGATGACACTAATTGCGTCCACTGTGGATCTTGTCTTCCTGAAGCCTTATTGGTTACCGGACAATCCCTCCTTGTAGGCTTTAATCCGTTTACAGATTATTCAGTGTAACACCTTGCCTGCTGTATCTAGTGAACAAATAGGCTGATATGATAACAGGTCACTTGGTTGCTTATCGCCCTTCGGAAGGAAGACAAGCTGTTGTTGCTTCCAACGAAGGGGGAAATTCCCCTCTCGCATGCACGCATTATATACTTCTAAGAATAGATTTGACCGAGTTCTAATAGCGGTCTTTATAGCAACATTCGGCATCCCATCCAAGCCTGGGGCTTTGCACTCTTCAACCTTATTGCAAACTCTGGACAGTTTGCCTAATGAAAC